ATCTGTTCACTGCCAAGACAAATGTTGAAATTGCATGTGTGCTTCTCATTTGGCAACCATGATAGTGGAAAACTCTGAACTTCCTCCTCCACAGCGAGAATAGGATTCCTGCAATTTTTTTGGGTCATGGGATAAAGCATCTGTCAGAAGGCACAAACTTGTTCATTTCCTTTAAATTTCAAATATTTGCATCTTAGCCCACTAAAATATCTGTTTCAGGTTCTCGGTCAGCGGGGTTATGATGGTTCAGCAGCTGATATATGGTCATGTGGCGTCATTCTTTATGTTTTAATGGCTGGATATCTTCCATTTGATGAGACAGATCTTCCAACACTATACAAGAAGGTTCTTTTTTTACTTTTTATTGCAAGCTTGTTCTTCTAGTTCCATGTGGCTTTTGAAATTCATTTCCTTTTCTTCTTAATTATCAATGAATGAGGGAAATTAATGGATGATTCCTTGAAGCAATGCCCATACTGTGCAAAAGTAATTACCTGTTCAGTGTTTAATCTCTGGATCAGATGTTGGTGCACAGTATTGAGATAATTTACGTGTAAGATTTTTGTTGGAATGTTGCACCTGCTGGTTGTGGATGATTCTTTAGGTTTCTCAAAATCCTTCATGATTTTTCTAGTTTTTCTTGCTTGTATCTATGTTTTCATTAACTTTCTACCCAATGGAATGTTGCCCGGGGAGTTGTGAATGACCCTTGTCTTTTCGCACACATATTGTCAAGGCTCGTTTTTCACATGTGCATGTGTGTTTGTTGGTATCCTATGTATTAATTGATGCAGTTTTCTGTCTTCTTCGTCTTGCATACTAGGAGAAAATGTGATTTCGCAGCTCTCTTTCTTTTCTAACCTTTTTGTTGATGTTGGTTCATGAATTTAGAACAGGAATATACTTGGAAGTTTCTAATCTCCTGCTTATGTGTAGATAACTGCTGCAGAATTTGTATGTCCGATTTGGTTTTCTCTGGGGGCGACGTCATTGATCAAAAGAATACTTGATCCCAATCCCAGAACTGTAAGTAGTTACTTTATCACATCAAAGTCGGGTGCTTTAGGTAGTGAAAGTGGTAATCACCATACACCCTGCTTTAGATAAACCGACAGAACTTTTACCAGAAATATACAGGTTACGACATCGCAATTGACTGCAAAAATTGCTAGACAAAAAAATAAGCTAAGAGGATCTCAATTTCCTGAGCTCATCTTGGCTGTCTGAATAATGATGTTTTCAAGCTTGACATATCACTAATTTTCTTGACAGCGCATTGGTATTGAAGGAATTAGAAAGCATTCATGGTTCCGAAAAAATTACTTGCCAGTAAGACATAAGGAAGATGAAGAAGTTAATTTAGATGATGTCCGTGCTGTCTTTGATGACATTAAGGTTTGTGCAACATTCCTGAATAACTCAGATATCCAGCATTTTTAGGTTCATTTGTTGTTTTATGCAGTGTTGTAAACATAGCAACTTTTTGGAGGAATTGCAGTCCGTTGGCTTTTCCAGTACCTTTGATATTTTTGTTTTTGGTTTGTTGATTATTGCTGGTAATTTGCAGGAGCAATATGTAGATGAGCAGTCAGAATCCAAAGATGGTGGTCCTTTGATAATGAATGCGTTTGAGATGATCGCATTATCTCAGGGATTAAATCTATCATCACTATTTGACCGGCAGCAGGTTGAATTTTGTTTTCCCAGCGGTTATTTTCTATCCTAATAAATATTTCTAGAGTGAAGTTGCTTGGCACTTTCACTGGTGATATTCCATGAGTTCTAGCCTCTAGGCCCTTATAAAATCTCTGATATCATAGTTTCATGATTTTCTGCTGGTATGAAAAACATAAATCAGATTGCTCGAATACTGTTTGTAGGCGGCTTTGTTCTTTGCAACACCTGTGATTATAAATCATCTGGATCTGCATAGTCCTTAAATTCAAGGTTAATTATAGTACGGAAACCAAAATTTTCTTCTCATTGTGTAGATTATCTCTCTGTTTGCTTACTTTATTGGCAGAATCAGCAATTAGAAGGAAACTAAAGAAAACCAATGTGTAACTAGAGATCTAGATTGATCAAAATTGTGTGGTGAATAAGAACCTTGACTGTTATTGTTCAGTGCTAAATCTGTGAATTTTTTAGCATTGACTAAAAATTGCAGTATAATGATCAGGAAGGCAGACAAGATGCTGTTGATTGATTGTCAGAACTTCTCTCTAAGTTAAATATTTCTTGCATTTTAGTTGCGCAGTTGGTAACATCTTGACTTTAAATCCCTATTTAACTGACTTATAACTCCTACGCATGCTGATCCATGAGGTTCATTCATGGTTAGCAATAAATCCGGATAGGCTGCACACGAAGAACTCTCTCTCTCTCTCTCTCTCTCTCTCTCTCTCTCTCTCTCTCTCTCACATCACCATTCATTTGTGTAGGATTACATAAAGAGACAAACTCGTTTTGTCTCCCGGAAACCCCCAAAAGTGATCATCTCATCTATTGAAGCAGTGGCAGAGTCAATGGCTCTCAAGGTCCATACACGTAATTTTAAGGTATCAGTGTAATTTGTTTTGATTCATCCAAAATGGTTTACTGTCCTTTCGGTGCTTGAAGAATGAATTTAAATTTGACCTCACACTGGATTATGAAGTATCAAATATCTATAAAACTTTCTAAAATGAGTTCATGCTTTTGTAGCAAAAGCGTTTTCCAGAACATCCCTTTTCATATACTATATTGGATAACTGTGAACTAGACGGTGAACATTAATCTGATGAAATGTTCTATAGTTGGACAGGCTCGACTTCTCTGTATTAAGGATATGAGTTGTTTGTTTAAGAAAATTGACTTAAGTCTTGTCTTGAGCGAAGCATGTGCTGTGAAAATGTCTATTCAGTGTTATCCAGTCTCATTCAAGTGATATGTTTTCTTCACAGACGAGAGTTGAAGGATTGTCTGCAAATAAAGCTGGCCAGTTTGCAGCTGTCATCGAGGTAAATTTTGAGATCGATGTATGCATTTCTTCATTTGAAATATCTAAGGTATGGAGGCATCATCCGTTTGAGATCCTTTATCATTTGTAGGTTTATGAAGTGGCACCATCCCTCTTCATGGTAGATGTTAGGAAGGCCGCTGGAGATACTCTCGAATATCATAAGGTGAACTTTAGAAAATTAAAAAACTTGTTATCCAAAATCTATCCCAGTCAACCTTCCTTAATAGCTTAAAAGACCTCCTCAAAGTTTCTCGAGTTCCTAATCTTGAAAGTCATTTTAGTAGCTTCTCTTTCAGCACCGAGCATGAACTAAATTCTTTCGTCTCACTCTACAGTTCTACAAGAGTTTCTGTGCAAAACTTCAGCATATCATATGGAAGCCGACAGAGGGTAACACCAAGCCTGGTCTGCTTAGAACGACGAGTTGCAGATCCTAGTTTCTTGATGTAATGTAAATCAATTAAGCAGACAGCGTAGAGGTGCAACCAACTTGCAAGTCGAGGCAACAGCTTGCCGGAGCAGGCCTTATACTGTATATATAATTGATTTTTGATGATCTATATGGTGACAAAATCATTACGCTGCGCATAATGCTTGTTTCTTGACCTGAGAATCATCATCTACAGTCTTATGGTCGTAGGCCTTGGGATTCTGATTTCAGATGAAGCTATGTCAAACGAGCAATCCAAGACTATCTCAAGTCGCAAGATACATAGAGACTTTTTTCTACTCAATGGTGCGAGCGTATTTCTCTTTTTGTACGGATTCAATTTTCCTGGTATGGCCTAGAATTAGCTCACAAGTTCGAATTATTGCAGGTCTGTCATCATACGTCAAGTCTAGAACATCTTCGCTAGAAAGACCTTGAATGCCGTTGGCATTCTGTTCTCTTCGGAGGCAGAATTTTGAATGGTTCGCTTAGCTAATTTTGTAGGCTTTGCTGCATTATGTCATTCGATATGAGTCTTCAAATTCTTCAGGAAAACACTTCAGGATACTGTTATTCCACTTGCGGTTTAAAATAGTTTACGTGCTCTACATGTGGGAAGTGTTCTAATCTTCACCAGCATTTGCTTGTGTGCACTGTCCAGCTGCATCCTCCATTTAGAGTTTAAAAGGTGGTAACTCACTATCGCAGTCAAGGTAACGCGAGCAAAAAGAGGCAAACGAAGCTGATTGGTGAAAATAATACGGACTCACTGAAGCTAAATGGTGAGCCGTGACGAGAGTCGGCTCTATTCTAACCCTTTTCCTCAATACCACTAATAGAATCTCTGTCTCGATAAGATATGTATCTAATAAGTTGGCATATTTTGAAATGATCCACAATGTCACATTTGCGTGGGGTCGATATGTCGTAGGGATGGATTCTTCCATCCATTGTAGGAGCTGGTGTAAGGGCAACATGGACAATCCTGATTTGGTTTAGGACACTTTGCAAGATAGAGATCAAGTGGTGTTCGGCTAGGTTCGACGGCAGGACAAGGGGGATGAGGGATTAGACTGTCGAATAACGGGTGTCTCAACTTTGAACCCCCTGGAGTTTGAACTAATGTAAGTGCGTTGCAGCATTAGGGTTCTGTTTGTGGGGCTCGGATTAAAATGCAAGACCCTAAAGACTGGTTTTACTGCACCTTGTCCAGCACCAGGGCTCTTTTTGTTGCTACTTAGTATTTGCCAATGAAATGTATCGGTTTTAGAGAGATTCCAAAGCCAAACTTAACTTGAATTGCACGAGCAGTGATGACTGTCTTTGCTTGGAGATACTCTCCAAGTACAGATGACAGCAACGACACAAGCCCATCACAGATTATCTAAGGCGTCTCAGTCATTGGACAAAGCGAAGAACCATGAGATTAATCCCATTTTTCTCGATTAATGACGGAGTAATATTAGCACGTTAAATCCAGCGAATCCATCAGGCACTTCACAAAGAAGGCAGGGAAGGACAAAGAATGAGAAAATAAGAACGGAGATGACCGGTTTTTCACCAAGATCAGACTCAAAAAGAAAAATTATATAAGACAAATGAATACACGAAATGCTCGACATAGCTAAAACATTGGATAAGAGCAACCAGCAGTACATGAACAGACCTTACATTGTCAAGCACAAGATATCCACAAGCAGGAAACATAATCTCAGGAACTTGATGACTGACTTCTCCAGGAACAATGGCCACTAAAGAGGCGGCCCTCCAAAATCGGAAGGAAAACGATTACAACAAGCCTTCTCAGACCCGAAAGCTTGCAAAAAAGAGGGTATAGGTGGTGTACTAGTTTGCCAAAAATTCCCTGGAAAACAACCAAGCCACTGATTGTCCATCCCGACAAGACTAAACGGCCTAAAAAACCTACTCTTAAACTTGCTGCTGCCCATCACAATCCTAAAGCTATTACCTTATTCTTTCTCACATCACTACCGGGCCAACCGGTCGATGACCATTTTGATTCATTTTCTTGACTAGGAGAGGATATCACATCTCCACAAGCTCTCTGCTAGCAGTTCAACCATGCTACTGCTGATGGAACGGCAGTGCTGCAAATTCAGGCCAATTAAACTCCCAGCCAACTTCTTCAAGAAAGGCACGCTCTTACTTGAGACCATTGAACAACCAGCCAAAGAAAGTACTTGTAGATTGAGGTGTCCAGCTGAGGAGAGGACTGAGACACCCGAATCAGTAATGCTGCATTTTGACATGTCGAGGTCGTTGAGTAACAAGCAATTATCTGTGATTGCCACCAAGCTTGCATCCGTGACTTTCCTGCAACCATCAAGGTTAAGCAGCTCAAGGGTCCCTCCATGTAGCCGGACCAAGGTGGAAACTGCTTCATCGGTGATGTTTAGACAGTTACTGAGGTTAACTTTCACAAGTCCTGCCTCTGAATTTTCCAGAAGAGGGGAAAGCCCAGCATCTGTTATTCCACAAAGGCCGGTTAAGTCGATGTGCTCCAGATGAGGGCACAACTTTCCCACCATGGCCAAACTAGCACTGCCAAATCCTGGGCAATTTTGGATCGATAATGATCGAAGAGATGTGCAAGACGAGAGCATCAAAGATCCTTGTAGAAGGTCCTTAATTCCCATGCACTTAGCAATAGATAGAGACTTCAGCTTCATTTCACGGTTTGAGATCACACCAATAACTCCTCCCAAGGAGATCCTGTCCAATTCCTCAACTTGTAGATTTTCAAGAGAACTAGCCGCCCTTGCAAAAGTTATCAACCCAGAATCAGATACAAAGTGACACTTACGGAGGCACATCTGCTTCAAGTTTGTGCAACCCTTTCCAATGGCCCCTAGACTCACGTCCGTGATTCCGTGGCAGGAGGCAACTGTCAAGGTTGACACTTTCTTGAGACCCTGAGCATTGCCCATGACCCAAAAGCCCTTCTCACTCGCATTTCTAAGACCGCCAAGGACAAGACTAGTGACAGCCAGGCCAAAATGCCCAATTACTGCAAGAGAGAAGTCTGTTATATTCAATCCCTGAAGCTTTATCTTGCTCAGGACAGAAGAAGCGGAAGATACCAAACTTGCAACTCCATGATCTCCGACTAGAGGGCAGTCTTTAATGGAGATTGATTGCAGCCGAGGGCAACACCTTCCTATAGCTTCTAGGCCCTCATTCCCAATCTTTGGACAAGATTCGATGTTTAAAGAAATCAAATCTCGACAATTTTCTGCTATAGCAATCAGACCCTTGTTGGAAACAAAAGGACAATGGCTAAGATCAAGCTTCTCCAGCAGACAACATTCTTTGGCTATTTCGACTAAACCATCATCCCCAATTGAAGACGGATTCCACAAAGAAAGAGTCCGAAGAGAAGGGCAGCCACGGGCAATTGCGGATATCCCAATGTTTGTGACTCCACGAGTAGACCTGGTCCCCCGGATTGAAAGCTTCCCGAGACCGCCACGACCATTAGTTCCCACTGCTACAGCAGCAAGTCTGACATCCGTCGCTTTCTTCCCCTCCAAGCACCTCGTGAGGTACCCATCTCCCTCAAGTCCTCCACTTGCATCACACGAAACCATTTCAACATCACCAGACGGTGAAGTCTTCATCTCTTTGTCCTCCTTTGCTGAGTTATCGACTTCACCTGATATTTCAGTTCTGCGCATGCTACTCAAAAGGAAAAGCCAGTGCTTGGAGACACAGGCACAGGAGCTCCTTTCTCTACCGCTGGGAAGCCGTCTGAAGATCTCAAAGAGGCATTCATCCGGGAGTTCCTCGATGGAAGATAGATGTTCCCCCTCATACTCGTAAGAGCTGACGGCATAGGGGCCACATACGCGAGCCCGCTTGTGGGGAGGGCAGTATATGTCCATACTGGAACCCATCGAGTACAAACGATCCAAGTCGATAGAACTTGTACATAAAGATCCACCACCGAAGAATTGATCTTCACCTATAAAACCAATTACAAACAAGTCTGATAAGTTAATCTGGTCAAGCGTTCAAACATAAACCCAGTAACACAATCTCCTGATTACACAATCCAACACAGCAATAGCAAAAGCTTTCTACCTCCTTTCAACCACTCAAAAAATTCCAGTTTCATCTTAAGACATGGAGCTACTTCTCAATTGTTAGCTTTAGCAGAAGATCAAATCACAAATTGATCTTTACATCTACCAACAGGAACAGAAAGAGGGTATCGATAAAAAAAAAAAAAAAAGAGATCTCATGTAATCAGAAGCAAATATATCTTAAGCTATGAGTCATCAAGTACTGATCTTCAACTTCTACGAAATCCACAAAGCAAAAACTAATACCACACTCCTCATTCTTCACGTGCTTCCAGAAACAGATCGTGCCCAAATTCAACAACCAGATCAGAAACAAAATGAAACCGCGAGAACTCCCAGCATTTCTTCAATCAGAGAACCCAGTGACCAAAACAAACCCAGAAAGATATTCCATTCCACTTTGAGAACGCACAAAAGGGAGAAGCTTTTACCTCCATAATTGACGAGAGCTGGCATGGCCGATCCCCAAAGGAAGAAGCTTCACCGAGTGCAACAAGGACAAGACTCAACACCAGGAGCGAAACAGCAATGCAGGCGAAACCCGGTAGGCCCTCAGCGCATGGATGCATTTACAAGATGCAGCGAGTTCTCAGAGAGCATGGAAGAGCCAAGGAACCCCAACCAGCAGGGCAAAAAAGATACAGAGAGGAAGGAGGTAGGAGGAAGGAGGAAGCAGAAGAGGAAGGAGAAGGAGAAGGTGGGGAGTGTTGCGTTCGGTCCTGGGCTTGGAATGTGTCACGCGAGGGAGTTATATTGGTGTCATTCTTGTCATTGCAGAGAGAGAAAGAGAGAGAGAGAGAGAGAGAGAGATTACATGCAAGTGCAATGTATCCATCCTCAAAACCGGGCATTCATTCCTAGTCCAACCAACCACCTCAGCCCAAAGGAAAAACAAAAGAGAGAGAAGAGAAAATCCTAGGAGCAACTGGAAATTTCCCTCCCCTTGTCCCAAAAAAGATATTATTTCCTTTTTTTCTTTTTCTTTTCTTTTCTTTTCTTTTCTTTTGGTATTTTTTTTTCTTCGAAAAGATGGGAAGGTCGCGATGAAGTCCTGTACCTATTATGGAATGTCGAATTTGAGTCATAACTACTGTCTATAAACTAGGCTAGTCAAAATGCTAATCATGGGCGAGATAGCTCGATGGCATTTGGTTCGGGATGATAGTTACCGCAATTGGACTCGGTATTCATGACCGCCAGATGAACGAAGGCACTTGGCTCGCGAGGATCGTTGTTTTCCTATTCTGTTGTTGCTTATTATTTTTTAGGTTAGTATCACAAAAAATTTCAAGCAGGTATATCAATGTCATATTTGCCGCAACTAATTTTCGTGTCACAACAAATTTCAAATCGGTATACCTATGTTGCATTTAACCCAAATCATTTATCGCGGCACCAAAAATCCCAAAATCACTAAGATTTTAGAATCGAAAATCTGCTAAAATTGAAAATCTGCTAAAATAACATAATTTGCCCTAAGATTTTGGTGATTTTGGAGAGATAGAGAAAGAGCGTATTCAATCTCAATTCATGTTCTTCAAATCTAGCTCACTCAAAATGACCTCGTTGACGAGACCTATTTATGTTGAATTTCCAAGTCGGATTAACGTCATGCGCCAATCATCCGAGTTATTTGCACATGTGTTTCGAAGTCAACAATTTAAATGAGAAATTGGCCAAATTTTAACGGATGACATATTTATCACGAGCGTACCAGATTTAGGTTTTTTGTAACATGAAAATTAGTTTGCATGGCACGAGGGTACCGGTTTGGGTTTTTTGTGATATTAATCATTATTTTTTTCTTTGCTTTTTATCTTTTCAAAAAAATATTTTTAGTCTAGTTTGAGCACGTTCATCTATGACAATGCCAAAGAATCGAGATCAATAAAATGAGAATTTTAAAGTAAATAATAATTCTGTTCGTCTAGATTATATAGGTCCTACGTGATCAAGTTTGAGACATAGAGTTGATAACACGGATTTCATTGTAAGTCGTAGTAAATTATATCCCGACCATCAAATCGATCGTCTTTTTTTCTCAAGCACAACCCACCAAACCCAACGAAAGTTAAATTTCTCTTGGGAATCTTGTTAAAGAGTGCTGTCGGGGGGTTTTGTTGAACCAAGCCCGATAAAGAAAAGCCTTCACTTTCAATGCGCCGACTATAAATAATACGAGGAAAGCGGCACATTAGAAATGATAAGTTTCCTTCATTCGAATGTTCAATACATGGCCCCAGGTATTTGTGAACCAAATTTTCTTTCTTCTCTCGATTCTATTAGAATTTAGACTAGGCCGATTGCGAAGAGGGGTGGTCTCTATCAAGTCTCAGTACTCGAGTTTACGATTTGGTGGGTACAAAACAAGGGTTTCATTTGTATGCTCTATGAGCATGCCCTATAGAACAAGAATTCATCATTTCAATAACCACACTTTACTTTAGCCTTAGCTTTAGGTTAACCACGCATAAATTTAGGTGAAGCTGGGGGGTCAGAGTTATTCAATTAATTAATTATTCATTTTTTTGGCCAAATTTTAACAGAATAAAATAAAACTGTGTCTCCATTGATAGCCTTGACAAGTTGATTGAGAATTTTGTAATCTTATAATCTCTAGATGAATAGGCAATTAGCACGCCAGATAGGGACAGAGTAGCACTTGGGATTTGTGAATACAACTGTCTGAAGCAGAGATTCATCCTCATCTCTTTTGTATTCAACTTTTTTCTAATTCAACTCCCCTCTCCAACTTGGAGCTGCTGTACACATCAAGCGGACTTCTTGGAATGGAAGCAGACGGCAAAGGAATTAAAAATATGTTCATTAATTATTCATATATTCCAAATTGGGGTTAGAAGGGATTGGGATTAGGGGAATCGATGGATTACTATTCTTTAATTCCGTTTTTATTGACTAATGCGGATCGATGGATTAGATTAGGAAAAGTGGACGTAAGAGGGTTTGCTCTATTTGGTGACTTGTTCCGAAGACGAGCCTAGCTAGCTAGATTGCTAGTGCTTTTGGTGTGGTGTTCATGAAATCGAGACTGGTATTTGACCACTTTTAATATAGCTCACAATGACTAAGAAGCCTGGTTCAAGCGAATAATCCTGTGGATCAAACAAGCAATGATCCAAAACTCGAGTTGGAATCTTGAAATTGAGGTGAATGTGCATTTGTTTTACTGAAAAACTTGTTTGATAAAGGAAATTTTTTTCCATAAAGATCATTTTCGAGGAAAATGGTTAGTTTCATTGGTTTGGTTGGAAAAGTGATTTCCTTCGTACCAAAATAAGAAGTAATTTTTCTCAATCTTAACTTGTTGTGATTCAGTACATGGATAATGCGTTCCATAAATCGATTAATTTTCCGTCATCTAAATACTAGAAAGTCGGAAAATGATTTCCCAAAAACCGATGTACTTCGAACAAATCATATTTGGTTGGACTTCTTTGTTCTTAATAATATGAGAAAATCATTCACGGTTAAAGATAATATGCGTACTTAAAGTTAAGAAAATGAATTCCATAATCTGAAAAGAAATGTTTTCCCCAAAAAGTATTTTCATCTATCACGAAATTTTTACAAAAACAAACATACCCTAAAATGTCAAAGTTTACCCCAATTTGACATTTCGCTTTTGGAAATTGTCATCTCGAATAGCTATCGACTTGGCATGCTAACGACCACACGAGTCACTAGTTACGAATAGACTGGACAATTCTATGGGACTCTAAAGCCAATTGAAGGAGAGTCGAAGATTATCTGTTATTGATGCGATGTATTTGGTTGTATGATCTTATTCAATATTTACATAAAAAAAAAAGAAAGAAAAATGCTACAAAACAAAAATGAGTAATGCTAGGCATGAATTGAAATTTCTTAACAAAATGAGTGAGCATTTATACGAGTGGATCATAATCAATTTTTGAACCGGTCTTATATTGCATAAAATATTAGATCCATAGATCATTCTTACCATATATAGCCTAATTAAGTAAAAAAAAACGGCATCACGACTTTTTTTCTAGACAGTTGTCGAGTAATCAAATAAAAAGTCGTCGTTTGTAATCAATACTTTGAAAATCAAAATTATTCTAACACGGATCTTGTTAATAAGCATCCTGAGAATACTATTTAAAAGAATTTCTAAAATTCGTGGAAAACCCATATCGGCAGAATTTCGGAAATCGAAATCGAATGTATTTTGAAAAGCGACCCGTTTGAAATGGAAAAAAAAGTTTATATTTCCTTCTGATATTTCGAAAGCACGATTAACGACCCTAAAATGGAATACTTCAATGCAATAATTGAATGTTTTCTTTCTAAAATTAAACACGTTTATCCAGACGGTCGTTAATGAAAGGTGATTGCCGCTGGGGGGGGTTGTAACTTTAATGACAGATTCGTAAAGACGACTACAGCTGGAGTTTTAGATTTTGAGCTTCTGGGAGTTGAAGTCGACCACCAAAAGCAGTTCTTGTCGTTTTGCGGCAAGCCGAGGAAGCGTACGGTGCAGATGAGAGAGCACAACAACTTGGACGACTTTTTGGACGGACACGATGGAGAGCGGTCAAATCCTGTCGGTCATAGCCTGTCGTCTCCCAACCGGCAGACAGGCTCTTTCCTTTGAATGTTCAATGCACTCCGGTACAACTTGAGCGCAGACATGGAAAAATTGTCCAAAATCAATTGATGAGATGAAGTTTCATTGGTTATTCCGATGTGAGATTTTTTTTAAATCTAAATGTAGATTTAAATTTGGGAGGAATCCGGGAAAAAATGGTAATTTCATGCGATGCCAGATGAGTCTTTTATCGACCCGAGAGTATTTTGATCAAGGGCTTTTGTGTGGTATGCAATCTTTCGACGATCCCGTCGCTGTTGATTGGGATGGTAACTATGTGATACGATCGAATCCTTCGCAAAGACCGTTATTCGGTAACTTTGACATTAAATATACTATCTTGATGAATGGATCATGTTTTTCTCTTCTTTTTCATTTGATTAACAGTACTAGTCGCCTTAAATAACCAAAGAAAATTTACAGCGGCAAGAGGATGATGCATCAAACGTGTTAGAAATATATTATTTGATTCTGAGTATCTCTCATATCATAATCTCGTATATTCTGATTTTGAGTATCTCTTGGATTTACTCATACTCAGAATATCATTATTCCGATTGATTGTAATTTCTATTGTAATATTATGTTATTATAGATAGATATTTTGTAAAACTTATTTTTAGGCTCATGTATAGTTCAATGAAACATACATAAATATATAAAAATTCTATTTTCCGCTTTATTCTTAAGTAAACGTATGTAACACAGCCGACATACACTATGGCTAATCCGAAAAATGTGTTATTCACCATCTAATTCGAGAGGATATGTGTTAGTTTCACAATCTCTAGATCGTTTAAATATTTAATTCGCATTTACCTACGGTTTAAACATTTCTCCAATAATTTAAAATTTTCAAATAAATTGACAGTGATCGTGTAATGCTCCATGCTAGCAATTGTTATTAGTAGCGAGACAACAATCTTTTGTTTATTAATGATAGATGACGTTAATAGATAATTGGGAAGGTGAAATGTCCGTTTTACCCCCATGGTATAAAGACACCAATATCCTTCTCCGTTTGAAGATTAACCTTTCCTTTTCATCGTCCTTTTCTGTCTTTCGGTCAATCTAAAAGGGGAAAAGTCAGTTCTGCCCCCCATTAACCACCCTCGATTTGTCTTTTCG